AATATTATTTCCTCCTAATCCAAAGAAAAAACGAAAATAATTCTATTAACATTTAATTTACATTGAAAAATTGTGCTCTCATTTATATATAAATAAAGCTGTCAAACTGTAGTTTACAATTTCTAATAAATAATAGTTAACTTTTCAATTGAAAGTAATATAAAATAAAATGCGACATTGAAGTAATGAGTATTTGTTAAAATATAAAAAGTAATCCGACCATATTATTGAAAAACATAAAATTCATTGCAAGGTTGTAGTTCGAGATATGTATTTTTATAAATAAAAAATTATTTCAACTACTGAATGGTGAAATTTGTTGCATTATTGACAAAAATCAACAAGTAATAACATAACCTTAAGATGAAATACTGTCACTACATATCTATGACGCGTACCTGTGTTTTGTCTTTTTTTTATTATTACAATCGCGTATTAATTATATTCGGTGATGTATCGTCTTAAAGATCACTTCTTTTAACATAATGTAGTTAATGTATCCGATTTTTTAAAAAAATACATTTAAACCGCGGTCTGGCACTCTTCTTCGATCAACTTAATAACTCACTATAAACTTGACTTATTTTTGCTATGACGACTTTATTTGAGAAAAAAAACAAAATATTTACTGCAAAACATAGGATGCAACTAACTTATCGAAAGACGTAAGACACAAATAATGTTATAATCCTGTAAATAATGTATATAAAAAATATACTTTTAAAGAAAACATTTAATATATATGTATATGTATAGCTATCAAAAAATGTAGTGTACATATTCATCCATGGTATATATGCGTTCTGCATTCATGTGGAATTATTTTATAATGAATAAACCGAATCATGATATTTTTTCATCAAAATGTACAAAAAGGTTACAGCTATCGAATATATTTTATTACGAAATGGAAAAGTATTTTCAGAATCGCAAATAAAAATTATAAAAAATATCGAAAAGAATAGTATTTATAAACTAGGGGAAATTTCTGTCAAAATTGCAATAGATCCATGGGAAACCCCGACAATTGAATGGAAAAACAGAATTTGTATTTAAATTACATAAAAAAAGGGAAATACATAGATGAGATTATCTTTAAAAAATGGTACCACCTGTCTCTTATACACATCTAGATGTGTATAAGAGACAGAATTATATATATATTGCTAAATCAATGCTATATTTAAATATAGCATTGATTTAGCAATATATATATAATTCTGTCTCTTATACACATCTAGATGTGTATAAGAGACAGAATTATATATATATTGCTAAATCAATGCTATATTTAAATATAGCATTGATTTAGCAATATATATATAATTCTGTCTCTTATACACATCTAGATGTGTATAAGAGACAGAATTATATATATATTGCTAAATCAATGCTATATTTAAATATAGCATTGATTTAGCAATATATATATAATTCTGTCTCTTATACACATCTAGATGTGTATAAGAGACAGAATTATATATATATTGCTAAATCAATGCTATATTTAAATATAGCATTGATTTAGCAATATATATATAATTCTGTCTCTTATACACATCTAGATGTGTATAAGAGACAGAATTATATATATATTGCTAAATCAATGCTATATTTAAATATAGCATTGATTTAGCAATATATATATAATTCTGTCTCTTATACACATCTAGATGTGTATAAGAGACAGAATTATATATATATTGCTAAATCAATGCTATATTTAAATATAGCATTGATTTAGCAATATATATATAATTCTGTCTCTTATACACATCTAGATGTGTATAAGAGACAGAATTATATATATATTGCTAAATCAATGCTATATTTAAATATAGCATTGATTTAGCAATATATATATAATTCTGTCTCTTATACACATCTAGATGTGTATAAGAGACAGAATTATATATATATTGCTAAATCAATGCTATATTTAAATATAGCATTGATTTAGCAATATATATATAATTCTGTCTCTTATACACATCTAGATGTGTATAAGAGACAGAATTATATATATATTGCTAAATCAATGCTATATTTAAATATAGCATTGATTTAGCAATATATATATAATTCTGTCTCTTATACACATCTAGATGTGTATAAGAGACAGAATTATATATATATTGCTAAATCAATGCTATATTTAAATATAGCATTGATTTAGCAATATATATATAATTCTGTCTCTTATACACATCTAGATGTGTATAAGAGACAGAATTATATATATATTGCTAAATCAATGCTATATTTAAATATAGCATTGATTTAGCAATATATATATAATTCTGTCTCTTATACACATCTAGATGTGTATAAGAGACAGGTTTAATATAATTTCGCTACAAGTTGTACATAGCAGGGGGCTACTAAAAAGTATGATATTTGCATAGCTTCAAATATAAATCTTTAAAATAATTGTCTTTCATGGATTTCATGATTAGGCACGAAGTACACAAGTAATAAAAGCACTATATCTTTGGATTCAATATTTACTTTACAAGACTTCAATATCCGAGTATTGGCATTCTCGTGCTTCGCAGAAAATACCACTTCCTTAGGAACAGCGCACTAACAGTTTTTTGTCTTACTCACTGGACCATGTTATATACAATTTCATTACTATAAATCTATGTACTTCCAACGTACACCTAACACTAGGTGATATAGAAACACAGTCTTAAATTCATTACTTCTGCTTCAGTATATATGTACAAGACTTTATGATGAAATAAAGTCTGACCGGTAATTAAAATAAATTTTTTGTACTATGGAAAGTTCTCTTACACCTTAAGATGTTTACTCTGCAGAAACAAAATTTTGTTACTGTGTATCCAATAACAAGTGTTTGCGTTATATTCGACCAAAAATGTTGTATTTATTTCAGTGTACAATACATATCATTGTGCACTGTAATGTACAACATAAAGTTGTGCTATCTAT